TCAGAATCATCCAAAGATGTTCGGGAGTGGGGGATTTTTGACAGGCAAAAGAAGAAGTCTCTCCATATGGCAGACAGTTAGCAAATGGAACTCATTGCTACACAATGTAGCAATGATCATTCATTTACAAGGGGATTAGACAAATTAATAGAGGATTGGTCTTCTAGCATCTGGGGCCATGCTGGTTAAGTGGAACTCCCATGTTTAGAACCAGTTTACTGCTGATTATCAACTTCTGGGGGTGAACAATTGAGAGAGGCCATTATGACCCGCTTTCCCATCTATCTGGAACCACTGCTGGAAACTAGATGCTGAGCCACCGTTTGTCTCAGGGGTGGGCACATTGCTGGAGATCTGGGGAGCAATTTTCTGCCCCAAGACCCTGCCAGGATTACACATATCAAAAGTGTTCTGGATGTTAATGTTGATCAAGAGGGCTGTGGACTAGATTTAGCTAAAGACTGAACTATTAACTGGATCAGCCTCATTCATATCAAATAACGCCATTCCAAGACCAGAGCAGGTTACCATAGTCTCTTGAGACTGAAGGATGCCTACATATCAAATAGTCAGAACCGACTCCGAGAAACAGCAAAAGTGTCTGAAGTGGACTGAAGAAGCAGACCTCTGAAGTGAGAGAGTAAAAGCCCAGGCCATAGGGAGGGATGATGCAATGAATGTTGATGTCATGGCTTTTTAACAACTCTGACATGCAGTCTGAGGCACACTCCCCATCACAGAGCATGACAGATGGCATTGGCTGAAGCTCTTCCCCCACCTGAGGTGGGAAGAGAAGGACCACAACTGCTGCCGTGTGGCAGGCACAGCCCCACAATTCTCACAAGGGAAGGAGAATAAGAGTAGGATATCAATGGGATCATCCCACCCTCCCTCCCTCCCTCTCACCACCCACCTCCAGAGCTTGGCTAACACCCAGCTCCAGGGTTTTCAAGGCCAAGGAATTCTGGAGAGGGGTATGTATTTATTATTTATTTAAAATATGTTTACTCCACCTTTCAAAAGGACCCAAGGCAGCTGACATCACTGAAAGACTATCTTTAAAGCTGAAAACAATGGCTATACAATGGTGGTTTATATCATTAACTGACAATATTTAAAGTTAACATACAAGGAGTATAAAGAGGCAGCTTACATTGCTAAAAGACCATATTAAAGCTGAAACGATAAGTATACGAATATTACAAAGGAGCAAACAAATCCCACTCTGAGAGGTGGTAAGCGCAAGTAGGGCTAAAGACTCAGTCAGAGCAGTAATGTACAACAATCCCTCAAAAAGTCACAGTCCTGTAGGAAGTCATTAAGGGAAAGCTTGCCTGCAGAGGAAGGTCTTTGCTTGCTTGCAGGAGAGCAAGGATAGAGTAGCCAAAATAATTGCCTGTGTGAGGGTGATTTATTTGGTTGTGTTTCCATATAGTACCTTAGCCACATGGACTCTGGAGCCAGTCAAGAAGCAACCCAAACTAGGCAAGTAGGTGGAGGCAGTAGGGAGAAAGTCTGTGCCAGCACCTACTTCCTTCACCATCTCCTCCTCCTTTGGAAGCACCAGGTCTATATAGGCATCTAGGCAGCAGCCAGGGAAATGAATGATACTTGCTAAAAACTGTATTTAAGTTTTTTTTAAGCACCTTTTGAAGGTGCCTAATAAGGAAACCTCTAATGCTAGCCTGCTTAAAATCTGCCTTGCTTATTTTCCTCTTTAGTTCTATCGTGGCTTGAAGTTTCAGTGGTGCCTCGCAAGATGATGTTAATTTGTCCCGTGAAAATTGAAATCTATTTAATGCATTCCAATGGGGGAAAACTGTCTTGCAAAGCATCCGTCTTTTAAAAAAAATTGTCTTGCGAATGATGCAATGGGGGAAAAACTGTCTTGCAAAGCATCTGTCTTTTTAAAAAAATTGTCTTGCGAATGATGGACGCAAATATCGTCTTGCGAAAATCGTCCATAGGAAAAACCGTCTTGCGAAGTGCAACAGCAATCACAAAAAAACATTGTCTTGTGGATTAATCATCCCGTGAGGCAATTGTCTTGTGAGGTACCACTGTAAATGTAAGGGCAAATATAAAAGAAGCATAGCCCTTGATTGATATTTTCAATGCAAGTCTGTGGAAGCCTGGCGATCTGACTGTTCATGAATCAATTCAGATCAGAAGCCCAGACGGATTGAGGCAGGGCACAAATTGCCCCAGATAGAAGTGGGGACCATTTTGAAGGGTTGACTAGGCCTCTAAATGAAACCAGGGAGCCATACACAGCCCTAGTGATCACGACACACAGTTTACACATTTCATAAAATACGGAATTCACTGTCATATGATGTGTTGTGTTGTGTTTTGTACCAACAAGATGATTCCAACTTATGCCGAACCTTTCCAGGGTTTTCCAGGTAGAGAATACTCAGAGGTGGTGCTCCATTCTCTTCTGGGGACACCCTCGGACTGTGCAGCTTGCCCAAGGCCACGCAGGCTGGCTCCTCTCCCAGGAGGCATAGCAGGGAATCAAATGCCAAACCTCTGGCTCCACAGCCAGATGCCTAAACTCTTGAGCTATCCAGCCAGTTTATATGATAGTGGTAAAAACTATCAAATCGGACAGCTTTAAAGCAGGGTTGGATAAAGTGGTGCGTGTGAATCCATTGGCTGGTCCCAGCTGGTGTAGACCCATTGAATCAACTGCTGAATGGAAAGAGCATCTCTTGTGTTCCAATGGCTCCCAAATATAGTTAGGACAACCATTGGATTTATGCTGCAGAGGTTTGAGCAACACCAATGACTGTTGAGGTGACGCTAAATCATTGAGACATCATCTCCAGTATCAGAGCTACTAACTCCTGCAGTATTAGCTATGGGGGAGCAGCAGCAGGAGAATTGTATGTGGTCACGTCCTTCTTGTGAGCTTCCCATAAGCATGTGGGCGGCTCTGAGTGGACAGAATGCAGTACCTGTAATAGGCCTTTAGAACTGCAATAGAATGATAATAGGCCCTGTTCTATCAGGGATCATTTTATGTTAACTATGAATTTAGGAGGGACGTGGTGGCGCTGCAGGCTAAACCGCAGAAGCCTGTGCTGCAAGGTCAGAAGCCCAAGCAGTCATAAGATCGAATCCACGCGACGGAGTGAGCTCCCGTTGCTTTGTCCCAGCTCCCGCCAACCTTGCGGTTCAAAAGCATGCAAATGCAAGTAGATAAATAGGGACCACCTCGGGGGGAAGGTAACAGCATTCCGTGTCTAAGTCGCACTGGCCATGTGACCACGGAAGATTGTCTTCGGACAAAACGCTGGCTGTATGGCTTGGAAACGGGGATGAGCACCGCCCCCTAGAGTCAAACACAACTGGACTAAATGTCAAGGGGAACCTTTACCTTTACCTTTACATATGAATTTCAATGAATAAATACCTCTCACCTACTCAAGATGGTTAATCACTTGATCCCACTGGGAATGCTGTGGCATGTGGGCACATGCCTTTTCACGGGGGCCCCCAGTAAAACGAATGCACCATCAATATATGCAAGAAGCCTGTGTATGCATCTGAGCACATAAGTACCTTTATGGATTAAAGTGAACTTGCCAGCTAAGAATAACCTTT